AGGGCCCGGGAGCCTCATAGCAGAAACCACAGCAGCGGGGGCAGAAGGACGGAGGACCTGGGTTGGCGGGACGGAAACGTGGAGCCCACGGGCGTGAGGCCTGTTAGAGTCTGTCTGTCACCAATGAGGCGTTGACTTCCCTCTAAAGGGGAGGCCAGAGAGGTAACCCTCGAGCCACAGAGGATGAATCAAGCAGATGACCGGGGCCTGGCAGGGCTGAGCTGCCAACCCCCTGCACAATGGAGCCCCAGTTACAACGCGTGGCCTGATGTCCTGATTACCAGGGTGGACAGGTTCCTGAAGATGCACAGATTATTTAGAAGCAGAGGCATAAATAAAACAGTTAGATGAGTAAGTGCTAAATGAAGAGGAAAAAAATAATGGTTTTCTGTGAACTCATAAATATTCATTTTCCCGGGTCACAGAACTTCTCAGAGCCAATTAAAACTCTGTCAATTACAATCTCAAAACGCTAAAAGGGCAGCGCACTGATTAATACAGAGCAAAGAGCTCGCCGGGGGAGGGAGAGGACATATCCGACATGAAAGACAAAGACGGTGACTTTCTCTGTGTGAGAAGGAGGAACAGGAGCCCCCGACACAGCACCACGCAGGCAGCTGTGTCCTCCCCAAACAGCCCGGCTGGGCCGCGGGACAGAGCTGGGACAGGACAGCAGGATGAGTGGCAGGGGGTGGGGGTGTGATGGGTGTGGCTGGCCCGCAGGATTCACGTCACCTCCAAACCAGGGAGGAGGGCTGGGGCCCGGGTCTAAGTGTCTCTCTCCACCTGCTTGCTTGAAAACAGGTGAGGATGACGTCAGCCCACCTTTCCCCTCACCTGCCGGCCTCTGCCCCCAAGCCAGCTCTCGGCATGTTATTTCCCCGCGTGACGGCAGCCTGCGCGTTGCTCTCTTCCTGACTGCAGTCAGGGACCTTGTGTTGATGAGCGCTAACACAGGCCAGGGTTAGTCACCCGGATTCTCCTCCTGGGAGCTCATGAGAAACACAGAATTTCAGGACGGCCCCAGACCTGCTGCATCGGCATCTGTGCTTTAACAACCCCCTCACCCCCGCCCGTTCACACGCCCAGACCTTTCTGTCCACAGGGAGGAGGGAGCCGCTTTCCTCCAAGCCCCCAGAGTGAGGGGTGAGAGTGTGCAGGGGTGCCAGTGGGCAGACCTTCAAGGCCGCAGAAGATCATCTCTTCTTCCCAGCAGTCAAGCGAAAAGAAGGGGCAGGAGTGGGGAGGAGGGAGAGTCTTGCCAGGAAGGGCCGGGGAGTATTGCCTTAAATTTAATCATGTATGTGAGAACAATGACACTTATTAAGGGAAAATGGGTTTTCTTAAAATGAATGCCCAGTCTTAGCGGCCCGGGTCCTCCTGAAAGTCCAACCAATGCCGAAAGAAGCCAGAGTATTAAAGGTCTCTGCAAGGAGAAGCCCCCTTCTGCCCCCCAGGGACAGGAGTGCCCACGAGTGTGGTGCTCAGAAAGGGGAAAGGACTAGACAGCCAGGCCGGGGCTGGGCTTTCTCAGGCTGGGCGCTGGGGTTAGGGAGCAGGGGAGTCATCCTTGTTCCTGATGCCGCCCGACATGTTTTTCCCTCCAAGACTTTCCTGTGAGAATCTGCACACACCAAAAACGTATGGTGTCTGACCACGAAGTATATCTCTGGTCTGTGAGCACTGAGGCACACCAAGCTAATAATTTTTAAAGGATCCAATATTACTGTTTCTAGTTATTCAGTGCATGACCACGAACTACGAGGAAGAGCAATTTGGAAAAAGTTCAATGAGATGCAGGAAGGATGCGTAAGGTGTGTAATGGTCAGCGTCCAATCCCGGAGCCTGGTGAATGGCAGGGTCACACTGCCCAGGGCCCAGAGTGGCAGGGGGAGCTCCTGCAAATGCCTGCCCCTCCAGAGGGGGCGGGTCCCTGGAGCTGCCACCACCTCACCTCTCGCTTTCCTGGTTGCCCCCACATACACAAAATTCTACCAATATTGATTGTACTACTGTATCTACATTAGCCAGAGCACAGGGGAAGGGGGAAAATATGAGCTATTTTAGAATTTCAATAAGCTGCATCTCTCCGAATTGTTTCTTCTGAATTCAGAGTTGCATTAGTATTCCAGGCCACATTCTGCCACTCAGTGCTTACTGAAGAGGAGCTCCGCCCTCCCACATTTCTTTCTATCTGTTTATAAAATGGCAAACTCCTTGAAGCTATTTCAATGGCAGTCTTTGTTCTTAAAACAATAATTTCACAAAATTCGCATTAGCTATAATTGCTTTAAAAACATACCAATAAGCATGCACTGGCCATTTAATCCTTATTTACCCTTGGGTCACTCGAGTAATTGGTATAATAACTTTAAAGGCAAATCAAATCTTATTAATGTTTTCCAAGTACTTTAAAACCTTATGTGAATGTGTGTTTTGTAAAGGACCACTATCAGGAAGAAAGCACATTTTACCACGTAGGGCCCGAAATGGTTTTTAGATTTAGTGAGTCTCAAGCAACTCTGTGGGTTTTGATTCTTCCAGAAAATAAAACTGTCCAAGGAAACAGCTAGAGGAGTTTCATATGGTTTTGGCAGTGAGTTACGGATGTATTAACAGCTACAATTCAAAGAAAGAACAACCCAGAACCTATAACACTCAAGGACCATCTTGGGTGTGGATAAGATACCCGCCTGGCTCGGCCGGCAAGCTGCGAAGGGGTTTGCTGGAGAGACGTTCGTGTCTCCACTGGGACAAACCTGCTAGGCAGGGAGCTAAGGCACATGCTTAAATACTTGGCGGCCCAGTCGGAGTTTGGAAAGCACCCGTGACTTCATGACTAGTACCGAAATGTTGAAAAAAAAATCAACTGGCTCAGGAACACACTGAGCTTCTATGTTTCCCTTAAAATTATTAGGCAATGTGGGGGAGAAAAAGAGAAATAAGAGAGACTTCCTCTATCTGAAAAATAAAATTGTCAGTAAGGAAAAAAACGTAGCAAAGACTAGGAGTCAGAGAGAGGTCAAAGGTAACCAAGAGTGGTCAAAGAAGGGTCCGGATGAACGGTGAGCACCAGAGCTGAGCCTCGGAAGAGGAGATGATTCGGCCACATGGAAGGGAGGGGCAGCCTCACGGGCGAGAAGACCCTGACGAGTAAGGATGTGGAGGGTTGTGCGTCAAGTGTGATCAAGGCCCGCAAACCAACCAGCTGTAAACCTTCTGTCTCCATCTAACCGCGTGCTGAGGCCGGCCGGTGCCCTGAGCCCTTCGCGGCCATCGTCTCGTTGAGTCCTCGCCATCAGCAGACCCTGCAAGTAGAGGTCCCAATCCCCTGAAAAAACTTAATCTGCAGATGAGAGAACTGGGTCCATGTAGCTATGCCTGCAGGATGGGTCTGCAGAGGCATCACTTCCTGCCCTGGAAGCATCGAAATTCCTGGACCTGGGAGACAGGGGCATCTCCTGGGCTCTAGCCTAATGGGGGAGGGGAGAGCAAAACCACAGCCCCAGACAAAAACGCCTCACTTTCTTGGAATGAGCCACCTCTTGTTGGTACACAAAGTGTGAGGGTGTTGCCAGCCGAGACAGAGAGACCCCAGCTGATATTAACATACCTTCAATTTACCTCCAACTAAATCCCACTGGAATTGGCTGGACTGTTTTCACTGAAGTGAGGGTTGGAAACAGTGGGACAATGAGCCCCAGCAATATGAGGTCCAGGCGAGCACACCTGTGTGTCTGCCCGGCTGCTTCGCTCTCAAACAGCTCCCAGGGTATTTGTAGGGTGTAGGTCACCATTTCCTCTCTGGGTGGGTGCGAGCAAAATGATTAAGCTCTTTCCATATGGGGAATGCTGTGCTCGCCTGCAAAGCAGCCTCCGGATGCTCTCAAAAGAGCATTCAAGTTGCACCCTTCACGGATTTAGATGGGCGAGCTTCTGTTTAATCATCTGCTCTCCGCAAACAGAAGCCCCGCTAACACCAGCAGGAAAAGTGTGCGGCGAATTACTGCCGAGGCTCCCTGAAGACCAAGGCCTGTAGGTTCAAGATTGCGTTACAATGAAGTACTAGTGAAAATGAAATTGCATCTTTTGATCAAATAATGCATTAACCCAACCCCACGCTTTGCACTGTTATTCACTCTGGTGAGGTGGGCTTTTCGAGGTAATGTTCCCCTCACTCCACAGGACAGGAGACACACACCGAGGGAAAAGGGGGTGGAGGGCATGCATCGAGAAGACGGTGGACGTTCAGAGGCCCCGAGCAGCTCTCGGGGATAAGTGTTCACCACACTGTAAAGAACAACCCGGGTGGTAACGGTGAAAGGGTACCGCCATTTTTTAAAGTTCACACACAAAACCTTTTCCGCAGAAAAATGGTGTCCCCCTCAAGAACGTGGGTGAGGTGTCGTGTATGAATCCCCTTCAGTGCTGCAGACTGAGCTCACTAAGCGATGAGCAGTATATTGAGACTCTCCGGGGAAGTCTTTGAGAACAAGTTCTCCGAGCACTTTAGAAGCGTTTACATACACCTAACATGCCGTTCATCATTCCCAGCGGCTCGTTAAGGCGGCCTCCCGCAGGAGCCCAGCCTGCCGGCTCTTTCTCAGCCCGCTTCTTTTTATCCACAGGCCCCAGAAAGGAGCTCATTTCTTTTAAAACATATTTTATAATTAAAAGACTTCATTAACTCACAGGGGTGCACTCCACCGTGAGCCTACATTTTCTGGGCTTTATGCACAATAGACAGAGGCCGTCCCCCCATGGAATATGTTCTCAGCACCAGAGCTGGTTACACTGTCACTTACAGCAAAACGTATTCACATTTCCTGTCCCCATCAACACATGTCGCTCCTTCCGTCGCCCCCTACCAGCAAGGGGGAGCAATTTAAATGCATCCTGCCATCTAATTGATATGGACGGAAGGTGGAGGGCAAAGCGGACACTCTAACCCTGGAAAGCAACCCATCTGAAGTGTCAGATCAGCTGCTATGCGACCATACCTCTGCCCGTGACTCCTCCACACCCGTGTGCAGGCCACGGTGGGTTCCCGGGTCCGTCCATCCCAGCGCCGCCGGCAGGAAGGCCCCGAGCAGTGTGAGGTGCAGCCAAACGCGTCCTGGTTTCATTCTGCCGACTCTGCTGAGAATATGACAAGGGCTTAGAATTAGGCTTTGCGCGTGTGAGCACGTCATGGGGTGGCTAGCGTTTACACTCAGAACCAGGGAAACCTGGGGCGAATCCTGCCAGAGGCTCTTCCGTTCTACTATGAGAGGTTATAGTACTTCTGAGCCGTAGCTCACTCATCTCTGCAATGGGGTCCACACTACGTACCTTGCAGGGTGGCTGTGCGGACTGAAGGAGTCGGCGCCAGGAGAAACCCACCTGAAATGCCACCTACCGTTGCTTCTACAAGAACAAACGAGGGTGACAAAGCCGGGTCCCCTCCGGTAGGTCACCATACATCCGTGCCTCAGTGTCCTCAGACAGCAGCTGGTACTCAATAAATGCTGCTGAGGAATCGTGTGAAGCCTGTGGCAGCCCATATGTAAATGGCATCTCAGTTTATAGGACGGTGAGCTTCAAAAGGGCATAAGAAGGCCCAGGGTTTTCACTGCACGACCAAGCTGGTTTGCAGCTGGATCCAAGCAGCCAGTGGATAATGGGATTTCAATAACCTCTACGGTGCTTCCTGAGGCTCACATGATAAATTGCCTCAAGTCCCAGATGACAAGAAATGGGCGATTCAAAGCGATCATAGATTTACCTGGACAAAAAAAAAACTGAAGATCCTACAATAAATATTCCGCTCCCCACCACGTGCTCGGCATTGCGCTAAAGGACAAGGACACCAACTGATCCACTTGCCCACGCAGCTGCACTTCTGCTTTAAGGTTTCTGCTGTGGACGTACTCCAGCCTTAACTCCAGTATCTCTAAGCAGCACAGCCAGCGGACCTTGTGATGCAGTATTCACAACTCTTACTCCAGGAAGCTTTAGGGGCTATTGATTTCTGTGAGCACCACACAATTTAGTGCTTAATTGCATGTGGCCCACACTGCATCCTGATCGTGGCTGGGAGACGAACGGACACAGAGCTTCTTGGAGGCCAGCAGCCCGTGTGACCCAGATTAGGGCTGGTCCAGAGCAGGTGTCCCCATCAAAAAGGATTAACCACATGAGGGACATTACAGTCTGTTTAAGGAGTCCACCTCTGCTCACCCCCAAAGCCAACAGCTTTGGAGGATTTGGACCCTAAACTAAGTGAAGTGAGAGGTGCCACATGATCACTAGAGCTGACGCCAAACAAACTCACTCCTGCCACATCCCAAACAGAGCTGCCTCTCCAGATTGGCTTCATGTCTCCACCTTGAGACAGAAATGCTACAGGAAGGAAAAAAGTCGGGCTAAAAATTGTGGGCATGCAACACTGTTCTGCGAAAAGGCAAGGTTATACGTTATGACTGTCTTGTAAGAGAAGGTGTCTTCTTCTATTAAAGAGGCCATAGGCACCTGCTCCTGAATCTATTTCTTCAGCTGTTCATCTTTGACACCTGTTGGCAAACTGGAGCTGCTGGGGCCATAGTCCAGGTGGCCAGCAAAGATATGAAGGTCACAGTCACGGTCCCATCAGCACCTGCTCCGTACCCCGCAAAAGGCAGAGTTGAGTGGAATGCTGCGGCTGCTCCCTGGGAGATGGCCGAGGGCTCCCAGCAGCCACCCAACTCAGCACTTCCCCCGCCCTCTGGGACTCCAGCTAGGGCATGAGTGTTGCCCAGTGCAGGGGCAGAGTGAAATGTCACAGTCAGGACGAGAAGAGAATCAAAACATCCTTCCCTAACTGCAACCAGTTCTTCTTAAAATGAATAGGGCAACTCCCTACTCTCCATGAAGTATTCTCTTCTGAACGCAGAGCCATGTTCCAGAGACTGCTGAACGCAGTCGCTGGGCTTTTGGAAATTTTTTTAAAACCTGCAACAGTAACTCAGGCTAGGACTAGAAAGACATTGCTTCCCGCTCTACTTTATCAGTCCTTCCCTACTTGTCCACTCTCAAACAGCGCTCCCGAGCCGAGCGCACACAGAGACTGCCTGCTTTTCTCCCTGCTCGTGCCGCCCAGCCCAAATAAACTAAAACCAGCAAGATAATCAAAATTTACTCTAGTAAACATGCAGATGTCAATTCCTGGAGTTATGAAATATTCAAGCCACTAAATTTAGTTTTCAGTCTGCCTAGTAATCCAAGACCAATTATGTTTGATGTTTTATTATTAATGGGTGGTGTCAAAATAAGAGCCTTTCATTTCAATTGTTGTTTTGGTGAGCTGCGAATCACTTCATTTAGGAGAGCACAGCCTGACCACAGGCTGTAAGCAGCTGTTCTGTGTTGCAGGGAGCGGGAGCTCAGCCCTGCGGCACCGGGAATCGTCTCTGGTGTCCTCTGGGGTGTGGTGAGGTCCTGGGAGATTTTATCTGAACGCAGGGGGACACATGAGCAGGGCCAACTACCGAAATAGTGCCAGGCAGCTGCTTCGTCAAGTTTAGCTCAGCTCAGCCACCACTAGATCGAACTTCATTTACATGGTAGATGTGTCTTAGATGTCATTTTGTACTCTGGGTGAGTGACAATTCATTACATCTACAACAGCAACAGCCTAAAAATTCACAACTCAAGTTTTATGACAGCTCAGTTCATAAAAAAAATTTAATATTGGGTCTAAATCAATTTTGATGACCTGTCTAGTAACCACATAATAGAGACTGTCTACTTGGTTAACACTTATATTGCAATCACGACATGTCAGGCTCCCTCCTAAATGCTTTACAGGTGTCAGCTCCTAACCCTCATTTGTGCCCCATGAGGAGGGCAATGATTATCCCCTAGTCAGATGACAGAGAAGACGGGCCACAGAGAGGCCAGAACTGTGTCACAGCCACGCAGCAGATAAGTTGTAGCAATGGACTTCAAGCCGGGCTGTTGGACTCGGTGTCTATCCTCCTAAACCCCGGCCTCAGCTGCCACCCGACACTGAGCATGATGGGAAAATCTGTGTAGGGCGAGAAAGGAGAACCTCAGCCCCATGTCTCCCTCGTCTCTGAAAGCTGCCAGGAGCTGCACTTCCCCGACTGGCATGGGTCCGGCCACAACCAGAGAAGCAGAGCAAGGGAGAGCTGAGCTGCTGCCCTGCCGCACCCACCCCTGGACGGGACCACTCGGCAGGTCCTCCGCAGCCCCTGCTGCTGCTGTCTTTCTTGGCCAAGAAGAAACCACAGGGTGCTGACAAGGCGGCCTCTGAGCTCCTGGGGCGCCCCAGCACAGCAAAGGGGGTCGCTCTGGGGCGAGGGGGCCTGTGCACACGTGAACTCCCCTCCAATGCCAAGAGCCAACAGGCCTTAGGATGGGAGGAAACTCAAGGCTGTCCGTTATAGGCGGGGCTAGGTGCCACCAATAAGGTCGCAAACCCTCTTTGTGTCCAGAAGTTCCTTCTGAGATCAATGTAGGTTTATGAACTTCATTCAGTCCATGCTAGAGGCCTAAGATTGGTTATAAATCTCCCCGAGAGTGTTTTCATAAAAGAGCTGGGACTACCTCTTCTCTCGAACAACTCATAAAACACAATCCCTTGACATTTAAGACACTGTTTCCTGGAGACGCAGTTCACTGCTTCCTCCGAGGTTTCCCGCCTGTGCTACTCTCCCCGCACTCGGGGGAACCAGGGGCCGGCCTGCCCGATGCACGGACCAAACCGCAGAGCCCGGGGGGTGAGGGCTCACCCACTGTGCACTGCCAAGTCAGGGGCCAGACCTGGGCTGAGACCCAGGCATCCAGCCCCAGGCAGCTGCCTTGTCTCTCACCTTGTCACACACTCGCGTGGGGCTGTGTGTGTGCGGGCTCCGTTCAGGTAAACTGGCTGTGCTTTCTCAGTGCTGGGTGGGCCCCACCAGGGCATCGAGCGATCCGTGTAAAAACCACAGGGTTTTCTGGCTTTATAATATAATCTTACACTGGTTCTGCTGTTTCTTTGTATTTCAATTACAGAGGTTGCCCTGGCCAGGTTGCTCAGTGGGTTGGAGGGATGCCCAGTACACCAAAATGTTGCAGGTTCCATCCCTGGTCAGGGCCCGTGTGGGAGGCAGCCGGTCAATGTCTGTCTCTCACATCGATGTGTCTGCTTCTCTCCCTCCCACTCTCTCTCCTTCTCTTCTTTCCGCTCTCTCTAAAAATCAGTAAGCACCAGGTAAGAATTTAAAAATTAATTAATTAAAGAAAATAAAATTACAGAGGTACTACAAATTCATATAAGGTAAGTTTCTAAATTCTGACTTGCTGTTTGAAAAAAATTGAAAAATATGGCATATTAGGGAGAGATCAGTGTGAATACGTGAATTCCCAGTCTGCCGCACCAGGGCCCATGGGCCAGCACGTAGGCTGTGTCTACTGAGTAGGGCCGGGGCCAGAGAGAAGCAGCGACGTTCAACTGGCGGTGGGTTTAACCCAGACTCCCCTTCCCTCCTCTGGGAACCAGCGCTGTTTGAGGAAGTGGGAGTTCTGACGGTCAGAGTTCTGAGGGGCACTGTCCACCAGCTCCCTCTCTCGGGCTCTTCCCCAGAATGTGGTAACATTACTAAAGCAGACGTGGGTGAGCCACATGGAAATGGCTTCTCTTTGTTACCAGCAGGACCGAAAATTATGAAGATGATTTGGCAGAACCAAGCAATGCCACTCAACCTTGAAGAGCCCGGGCAAGGTCCGTGACCCTGAGGCACCTGCGTTCCTGACCTTTCTAACTGATGAAGTGCATGTTCTAGCCAATTACTTGGGGCACACCACATTGCACACGTGGGATGTTGGCAGTCAACACATAGCAACCAGCTGGGGACCACCGAAGTCCTGCAGTCCTCTTCTGTATGTCTGCCCAATGTGAGAAGGGAAAAAAAAACAGTCACAGAACCCCTAACCTAAAACTCCGAGGCTATATTTTAATTTCTTCATTAACCCTAAAAACTAGGGTTAATGACCCTAGTTTTTATTTGTGAGTGTTTTAAGGAAAAAAAGAAAGAGATTCAAACTTCCTAAAGTAGTCCCTAAAATACCAACCCAGGAAATTAAGTATGGAAATATATCAGGGTAACCCTGCAATGAACCATCATGAAATTATATTGCATTTCCTATTAATTCCCGCTCTATATCTTTGGTTGATTTGTTCTAACAATTGATACATTAGGTGCCTAAATTACCCTATGCGCAATGTATAAATCTATGGCATCCGGACTTACTGTGAAGCTGAACACACACACACACACGACTTCCAGTAACCCTCACCCTTCCAGCATTCAGGTTATATCTCCTGATGCACCATCTGCCCTCAACTGCCGTTCTGTTTTATGTGAAGTTCCACGCCTTGTGTTAGGCATTGAGAGAGAAAATGTAAGGAAAGATGTGCTCTTGAAATCACTACCTAATTTCACTAAGTTAGCAAGCACACAATTTACTATACATAAGCAACACAAGAAGACTGAGTCTGAAAAGAAACACCCCCCCCCCCGCCCCCGCAAAAGCAAAGTCAGAATTAAGGCAGATTTTTAGGAAATCTCAACTATTCAGTTCCAGTCTCTGGAGCAGAGTGTGGAGTCAAACAGAAGAGCACAACACGAAGCTCACCTTAAAAACCAAAACCCCCGCAGCCTTTAGCAGAAGGAGAAGCATCCTGAGTGACTGATCAAGGTAGAAAAATGCAACACCCCCCCCCCACTCACTGCCCCCTGTAAGACACAACCAAAGGGGCAGAAGTTCTCCCAATGCCTGGAAAAACAAGCAGGACCCTCTCCGGAGCAAAGAGAGCCTTCCTGGAATTAACAAAAACTGGGGGTGATCATACAATTCTAAGAGAGCAGAGGCTACTTGGACAACTTTTAAGAGAAATTTAATAGATTGCATCAAAGACGATTTTCAGTCTGAAGTCTTCAGGGAGGGGCTGCCTTCTCCCCTGGGATGGGAAGAGGGCGAACACTCAGCTGAGTGTCTCAGCACAAATGGTGTTGTGATGCTGCAGTATCTGCACGCAAACCTCAGACACGAAGCAGACATCTGGGCCCTGCAGGGCATCAGATCAAGTCTTCCACACGAGCTACCGCAGGAGGGGCGCTGCGGTTTAGAGTCACAGACCACCTCCCCCTCACTCATTCTCTGGCACCCACTCCCTTGACCGCTGGCTTCCCAGGGGAGCCCTCCGCCCAGAGCCCGTCCACAGCCTACTCCAGGATTAAGAGAACACTAGTAAAGTCATCTCAGGCCTCCCCCCAAGCCCGATGGTAGAAAAACAACTTGGGACTTCTGAGAAAAGTCAGAATTTCTTCCCCATCCCCTTTCTCTCCTCACAGAGCGTCATATTGACCCATTCCTGGGGCACTCACCAGGGGAGACTGTGCCACTCCTATTAAAACTCTGCTTATCTTTGCCCCAGAAAACGAGGATGGGTGTTTGTGTCTCCGCGGCCCATCTAGTTCAGTTCCTGGTGCGCACACATCATTGCAACAAATTTACAAAGGGACCGACCAAAGCTACTGGCGCTGTTTTTCCCTCACAGGAAACCACGGCGGAAGCGACACCTAGAGGGGAGTGGAGGAGAAGCTGTGGAAGCGCTATCCATCACCGTCCACGGCAGTTATCAGGAGCGAGGTCGGCTGGACAGCTCCGTGGGCACCAACTCTCCGGGCGAAGGTACACACCTAGCAGGCTCAGCTCCGCGGGTCCCCGGGCTCTTCCAGAGGCCAGCGCGCTGCAGGGGTGCTCGCCACGGGTCGGCCCGGAGAGGAACCCCACTGCTTCCAGCGGGTCTCTGCCCCTGCTACAGTGGAGGGCGCAGAGTCCTCAGGTGGCGGTCCTCTGGCGAACGCGCTCCTCCGGACAGCCCTGTGTCAGCTGAAGGGAGCCCAGAAGGCTCGCACCGCTCTTGCCCCAAACTCGAGGCGACACGTGCCCAAATCGGAGCGTTCTGCCTGCGCCGCCTAGGTCCCCCGAAACTTAGAACAGGTTTCCTTCGCCAGCGCAGAGAGAGGCGAAGATAACCACAGCACGAGCTCTCTTAGGACCAAGCCCCCTGCCTGGACGTCCCCTAAACAAACTGCTCCCTAGTGACTCCTGCAGGGAACACTGTCTGCTCGGTGTAAAGGGGTAGGGGACGCGATAGAAACCCGGGTTCCGTCCTGGGTCCCGCTCCCCAGCATCCTCCGCCGAGCCCCATGCTCAGCCCCAGAGGCAGGGAGCTAGCGCGGGGAAGTGAGGGCCGGGGGAGCTCAGCGGGCCCTTGGAGCTGCAGCGAGGAGACGCAAGTTTCCCCGCAAAGCTGGAGGGAGGGGGAGTGTGCGCCTGGCCGCCCCGCACCCTAGCCCGGCCAAGGGCACGGGTCCGAGCTGAAGGGCTGCCGCTCGCCCGGCTCCAAGCCGCTAGGGGTCCGGAGCCCAAGAGTGGCGCCTTCAGGGTCTCGGAGCCCGGCACGGGCTGTGGGCTCGGCGCCAGCTGTTCTGCACCGCGCTCTGCGCGCCTTCCAGCTCACTCCGGTCCCTCCTGCAGACCCGGGCCCCAAGTCTCGGCGCCCCAGCCTTTACCCCAGGTCCTGGCCCTGGCGGCGGTAGCCCTGCCGAGCCCGGGTCCCGTGGTCCTGTGCCCGCCGCTCTTCGGGCGGGCAAACTTGGCTCTCCCGGCGCGGGCTGAGAGGCCACGCAAGCGCCCGCTCCGGGCCCTGCGGGGAGACGCGGAGCCCCGGGCGCCAGGACCCCATCGGGACGCAGCCTGGCCGGCTGGTGGTGGCAGCTTGGCACCCTCCCCGCGTCCGCGTACCTGAAGCGGCTGGGGTGGAAGGAAAGACCAGGTGGCCGGACTCTGGCGGGCGGGAGCGCCCCGTGGCGGCAGCGACGGCTGCGACCCGGGTCCACGTCCTTCGATCGGTCTCCCTGGCTGTCGGCGGGTCCCGGGCGCCTTGGAGGTTGTCGCAGCTCCAGCTCTCTGAGCTGACGCTGCCCGCTGCTGTGCCACCGCCGCCGCAGCTGCCCTATTTCTGCCGCCCGGACCGGAGCCCGTGACGTCACCCTCCCGGCCCCGCCTGCCCAATCGCCGCCACCTGTGCGCGCGGCCCTCCCGCCCGCCCGCCGCTCTGACTCGCGCGGGGCCCGCCGCAGGTGCGCGGAGCAGCGGGGCGCGCACGCGGGGCGCGAGGACTCCCGAGCTCCAGGGTGACCCTGCACCCACCGCGAGAGGGGGGTTGCTCCCGCCCCTGGCTCGCGGGAGGCCTGGCAGGCGACAACTCCCTCACCCGCCAAAACACCGCTCCTCACCTCCCTCCTCCCGGCTCCTTCCAGGCGTGGATTTTCCAAGGCTGTGCTCTCAAGATGCACAGCTGGTCTTAACCAAGCGGCCGTATAGCCTGTAGAGCGAGGGTGGGCCACTGCACCACACAGAGAGCTGTCCCCCGGACAAGTCAAATGACACTCCCCCTCGCTGAGAGCCGACAGCCTGCGAAAAGGCAGAGTTTGTATTATTCCCCTCTTCTGACTCTGCCCTCTCTCAGCCGCAGAACCTCACAAAGTCTCGGGCACTCCCAGGTGGCATGTGCCTAGCCTAGCCAAGCCGTGACAGGAAGGTGCCTGCTTCTCCTTCAGAACCAGACGTTTTGCCGCCAGAACTCATCCACAAGCCTGGGGCTTCCCGACCTTTCCGGACCCTCTTCAACACCCACAACTTTTTGAGAATGCAACCAAGCAGTCACTTTGCTTTTATTAATTGGCCTAGAGGTCAGTCTTGAAGCCTCCCAAACTGGAAACAACTTTGTAACAACTAGCGCCCCCCCCCCCTTGGTCATACTGTAGTCCCAACCCAACCTCAGACCTGAGAGGGAGACCCCAGCCAGGCCTGGCGGGTGGTGACCGATGGGGAGGGGCCTCTGTGGGGGACTGCCTCCTGCTCTGGCTGTGTGGACACTGGGCGACTCTCTGGCTTAGGGGAGCAGTGTCTTGTCCATGCCCCTGGGGAAACGGCTGGCCTGGAGGCAGGGCAGAGGGGCCTCTCTGACCGTAAAATTAGTCAAATCTCACTAAAAGGGCCAGACTACCAGGCTGATGTGGAGGAAGAGGTGCTGATGTTACATTTGCGCTTTCCTTCCACAGGTGTTCGAGGAGCCTCCTGAGTGCCAGGCCCTCTGCTCGAGGCTGCGGAGCCCACAGTGGCTGGGCCAGCATGGCCTCCGCCCTCACACAGGGTTTAGTTTGGGATCCAGTGCTCCCTCTCCCAGCTGCCCCGAGCCCATCACATCTCTGCCAGAGGCCCCAGTTTCCCCAGCTGCAAAATAAGGAGCTGGGTGAGACCTGACTACCAGGTCTGCTGTGACTTCCCACATGGCTGTCTGTCAGTGGCTTGGGCTCAGGAGGTGAAAACTCAGTTATTAACAACCACACCTAAAACAAAAGCAGAAACAAACTAAACAAACAACTAGAGCAGGAACAGAACCACAGAAATGGAGATCACATGGAGGGTTAGCAACAGGGGAGTGGGAGGAAGAGAGAGGGGGAAAGCTACGGAGAATAAGTAGCATAAATGGTAGGTAGAAAATAGACAGGGGCAGGGTAAGAATAGTATGGGAAATGTAGAAGCCAAAGAACTAATATGTATGACCCATGGACATGAACTAAAGGGGGGAATGTAGGTGGGAGGGGGTGTGCAGGACGGAGGGGTATAAGAGAGGGGGGAATGGGACAACTGTAATAGCATAATCAATAAAATATATTTTAAAAAGAAAGAAAGAAAGCCTGCCCCATCATCCCCAGTGCCCTCAGGGCCTTGAAAGGCATGCTGCTCTCTCCGATCTGATCGTGCCCCTTCGCCAGGGCCGCCCCTGCTTGACCTCCAGTGCCTGAGGCCTGACCCTCTACAGCTGGATCAGGAAAGGGGTGGCACTTCCCATTTCGGAAAAAAAGGAGAAAGACTGGGCACAAAAGGAAGCAGGGGAGTTTGGAAACACGCAGTCCCTCCCTCTGAAATGTAGTTCTGAGTCCCCAGGGAGACGGTGCCTCACAGCGTACAGGCTGTTCGTCCACCTCCCACACTGGGAGGTGCTTGGTAAACCAGATCCGTCCCCAGCTCCCAGCACAGAGTCCCCATTCAGCCTCACAGCCCTGTTATGTAACCCAGGCAGGCCTCGGGGGTGTGTTTTTAATAACTCAGGGTCACGTGCAAGTCAGGGTCTGCAGACTGGCCGAGATCAGAGACAGCTCCGGGTGCGCAGGGACCAGGCCTGGGCTTCCACGAACCTCCTCTGCTCCCCAAGAAGAGGCAGAGTGGAGCCGCTACACACCAGATGCGCAGGAAACCCCTGGAGATGCGCTAACACCTGAAGAGAGCCGTTGTGACGACTGGGCATAAAATGTGTGGGATGAAGAGTCGCCTTGGAACAAAGAAGGTGAGTGTGAACGACGAACTCGCACAAGCCTTTGGGAAGCGGCGTCGGATGGGGGCAGACCCGACACCTCTTTGAATGGCTCTAAACAGGCTGGATTTCGCCCAGAAGATATCAGAGTCTGCTTGAAACCCAGCTTCGGAACGACTTGAAAGCACACTTGAGTCTCATTAGCCAACTAGGATGCGTCACAGTAATAATAATAATAATAGTAATAGTAAAAAGTTAAGGGTCAATGTCACACAATTCGGTAAGCCCGGATGGCTGCCTCCAACCCCCACCCGGGTCGCCGGTGAGAGATCCAGCAGGCAGACAGACTCAGAGCCGCGCGAACGGAAGTTACCAATGTATATTCATAAGGACAAAACGTTTAAAAATCCCCAATATATGTCTTTTAATTTACCAGTTTTTAAACTTTATTTCTTACTAAAAACACAACCATACGATCAAAACTGCTGCCAAACAACATGTCTCCTACAGAGCATCTCAGATCGGAGCAGAGGTGACGGGGTGCCGGTGGGGGGGGTCAGGAGGAAGCTGGATGCCTCCTCCCGATGACACAGACAGCTTCCCGTCCCTCGCTATGAGGCAGGCTCACCCCCGGCTGGCCAGTCCATGCCCAGACACACCCAGCAGAAGCCAGACTGGGAGGGCATGTGAGAAGGTGAGAAAAGGCAGGAAACGATCTTCCTTGTCTTACATAATTTAACATTCTGCTGCCTGTCCAAACGATGCCTTTGCAAAGCTCCCAACCCAGCCAGGAGGTTGAGTGAAGCAGCGGTGCGGGTCTCGGGACAGCCCCGGACACAGAGGCGCGGGGACTGGTCCCTCTGCTGGCTCGGCTCCTTCCCACTCTCTCTGTGAGCCCGAGGAGCCCCGCCTGTCCTGGACTTTGTTCCCTCCTCTCCCACGTGGGAGTCGGGGAGAAGAGTGGGAGATGGTCATGCTAAAGTGGACTTCCACGGCCATCTTCAGTTCTGCAAGTCTATGCCTCTATTTTGCTGGTATCCACGGAAGTCAGGATTTCTCTGCACTAGAAAGGGCTATGAGGTTCAAGGTTTTTCCTAAGTCTAATATAAATGCCGATTTCTTAAAAGATGATTCATTTGGCCATCTCAACATTAAGCAAAGATAGACAATAAACTCAAAATCCTCGACCTAAAATCACACTCAGAAATAATTTTTTAATTTTGATTTGGGAGAAAAGTAGCCAGCATGGAGATAAGCAAGGTATTCCTTCAAGAGGTAAATGTGATTCGGGAAACTTTTCAGGGCAATAAAGAAGTGGTGGATGGTAGGCATTTGAATGAAGAAGGTGGGGTGAGACGATGCAGTGATGGAAAGGGAGTTAAGAATAGTGAAGGTGGAGGGAGATGAACAACAAAACCTTCCACCGTGGCATTGTTTCCAGAGACAGAAGTCCCCTGCGACTCCCAGGGGCTCGATGGGTGGCACCAGGGCCCTGACAACAGGGGAAGTGAAGCTCAGCTCTCCCAGAACTCCATGTGCACAGAGTTTGGGACCAGGAGGCCAGGCCTCCAGACCACAAAGCACCTCCCCCTGCTGGGGGCGGGGCGGGCAGACGGAGGAGGGGGCAGAGCAGGAGGAGAGCAGGGGAAGGCCAGTTGCCTGTGTTCAGAAGGGAAGCACAGACTCACAAATTTTTGTCACGATGTTGTTTTCCAACTTATCTGTGCAGAGTGGTGGATAACAAGACCCTTAAAAAAAGGTCATTCAAAAAGATGAGTGCCTGCCTTACAGAGATTCCATTCTTGCGATTACTTGCTCCATCCCCATGAGCAGGCGATTGCGCGGCGGGCCATCCTCAGCAGGACGGAGAGAACCGCGCCCGAGAAGCGGCCACAGGGCAGCCTGAACTCCGAGCCTGAGCCTCCCAAACCCAGGCGGCCTCAGGGACTGCTCTGCCGCCACCCCACACCAGGACTGTGGCTGCTTGCCTTGCTTCCAGGCCAGAGAGGCCCCATCAACAGTTCCACACTGTCCCCACAGGGCTGGAGCCGGTGTCCCTGCTGGGACCCCCACTACCTTCTGATGGAGAAGCCCTGCCTGTGGCACCGACTGACAAGAAGACCGTGTAGGCCACGTGTCTGTGCACTGGTCGGCCTGGCCCTGGGCTCTGGAGGAGCCCCTCACTGCAACACAGGGGTGTGGGGGTTCCTGCCGAAGGGGCGGGCCTGGCCAGTGGAAGACGGGGTACAGGGGGGACCCAGCGGACAAATCCTCTTCCTTCCCTGGATGGCCTGCGCTGACACACAACGCTCCCTGTGTCCTGTCAGAAGACATCCCTGGAGACCAGGCCCTCAGCCACCTTCGCACCAAGCTGGGACCCACCGGCCCAGGGTTTGCGCTTTCCTCTTCCTTGTTCCCGCCTCCCTGGGATCGTCCTCCTCCGTGAGGTGCCAGCGTGTAAGCGTTTGCCTCAGGGTCTGTTTTCTGGAGAACCCAGACTAAGAGGAAGGAAGAGGAACGACTTTTTAAGAGGGCAGAACTCCCCCGGAGAAGTCCTCTCCTAGGAGGTTGTTAGGGCGGAGAGTGAATCAAGGAGG